TTCCACTAGAGGGTAGTCTAATACTATTCCTTTACTGAAACTTAAACCATCCAGGGCTTGTCTTTCAATTTTGTTAGTTTATTTTGTATATCCTGTTTTATAAGATTATCCTTCCTCTAGAGCAGAAGATTGTGTTAGTCCTTAGGTAATGCATTGATGTCAGAGAATGGCAGGCATGTACTGAGTTTATGTCTGTCTTTTGATCTGACCTGCCTGATACATCATTGTTTGGCTTACTTCCATACAGAATTTAAGAGGACATCCAGTAGGGGGACTGGCACAGCTGTTATTTCATGAACTAGATTATTTTACTGTCAGGTTACATTCTGAGATTAGACCCTTCAAAGAGGACACTGACTCTCTACACATCTCTTAGTCTACTATGTAGATCTGATTTGTTCCATAGTGGCTTTTGCAAGTTAATGCACCTGTTAAAATTGCCTTGTTACCACCATGCACTTGTTACCTTAGTATATATTTGAAGAGTCTTGTGATCTTTAGTACCTTGCTTCGGTGACCTGTGGGTTTGTAGCCAAAGATTTCTTTGTTCAGTGAGGGTAATTATTTTGTTAGAAGAAAACTCATTAGGTGTAAAATAATTAATTTTAGTGTGCTCCTTCATTCTTCATATATCATTAGCTGCACTGCAGATAATGTGTACTTGAAACAATTGGTACAAAGAAAAATTCCAAGCAGAATTGCTCTTCCTCTGGGACAATCTTCTCACAAAGGTTTGTGGAGCTCTTTCCTGCACAGCTGTCAGGTATTCCCAGATGGCTTCTCACAATAAAATTCCACCTATCTTTTCCACTGATCACTAAAATGAGACATATGCTGCTGTTACAGCGAGCAAAGTGGTGCGGCTTGAGGTCCTTGTAAAGGTGTGTTTGTATATGGAGGCCTGCTGGTGTTTTACGTGCATGAATTCTAAGTTGGCTACCAAATTTACTCAGATATGCAACTGGTTTTCCTATAGGAAGTGAGCAGGTTGTGAAAGGAACATTTCGGCCAGTTTAAATTTAGTGTAAATACTGGGCATACATATGTATGTGGTTGTAATAATTTAAGAGTTTTAAAATTTTTAATATAAAATGGATGGAAACTTATATTTAAATATTCTATATTTTGTTACTGGTTTCAGACTTAAGAGTTAAAATGGAAAATTGTCATGCCTTAAATTCACTGGTAATGTGGCTTGGTTTGACATAATACTACTGATAAGGTATTGTTGCATTGTTCAATGCTTTGTCATTTCTCTGCTTGTGTTTGTATTATTCTTTACAAAATTAACGCAACCTCTTAATATTTAAATTAGATGAACATGAATCATAGAGTTGTTTCTTTTTTTTATGTTGTAGAGTAATAGAGTCTTTATCACAAGTCTTCTTAATGGAATTCAGCAGACTAGGACCTAAAACTATGCAAGAATACAGTATTTACCCTAGAGTCCTGTACTGATTCCTGCCATGACAGACACACATGGTCATACGATGTCAGTGAGAAGACGAATCCTGCATAAGGTCCAAAGTCTGGCAGCACAGAGGAGGGGCAGAGCCTGTGTGCTGGAGGCAGGGCTGGCACAGCCCCAGGCCCAAGGATATAGATGGGTTGCAGAGGGGTGCGCTTCAGAGACAGGCGAAGCGAGGAGGCAGGACTGGGGGCTTTCCCTGGAACGGTGAGTGGTTCTGTGTGCTGTGAGGTAGAAAGAGTACGTGAAGGGCAGCAGTGGTGGGACTGTTACAGTACGTTTGTGGCTAGAGAGTGATGGGTGCCATGAGTGCTAAGCTGAGGAGTTTAACTTGCTTTTGAAAAGACCTGGGGGCCTTTGCAGCTCTTTAAAGGGAGAGCATAAATATGAATTTGGTGCTGATGATTAGGTGACCACCGACTAAGCCCAGGCATCCTTGAATTTGCCATTCAGCAAAAAAAACCTTGATGTTGGCAGCCTATTCAGAAGGATGTTTCTTTCCTTCTCAGGAATTCCAAGTTGGTACTAAACCACGCACACCCGTCCCCTTATCATTAACAAAAGAGTAACTGGCACGCCAAGTAAACTTTGTACCTAGAACAGGATTCAGTCCATGAGAAATTAATTGGCCTGCCTGAGGATCGACTTCACTCCAGCTTCTGCCCCATTAGCTCTGTAGTCAACCAACAGAGCCAGAATCTAAATGGAAATTGCCATCTGTCCAAATAAAAATTAAAGTCTTAAAAAGAACATTATACATTATCTAATATAGAGTAGTTATGACTCCATTACTTATTTTCTTTTTAAAAATCATTTGAAATCTAATTCCCCTTGCATAAGGGGAATTAGATCTAAGAGGATATGTCACAGTGTAATTTATAGGTACTTTATGTGAGTTTATCAAAAAAAAAAAATAAAAATGTTACTGGTATTGTGATCTATCCATAGATCTTGTTTACATTATTTTGGTCAACAGCAATAAAAGTTTGAAGTGACTTTTATAAAATTTGGCTAATCTTTATTAAAAGCTTTTTCTGTATACATGTTTGTATATTCATTTAATTACTGTCAGTGTCAAATTTAGGTATTTTGGTTCACTTAATCCTTTGACAGCTTTGTAAGGTGTGTGTTGTTAGCCCCCATCACTGACGAGATGCCACATCACATCTCTCATGAGGGGCAGAGCAGGGTTTACCTGCTTAAACCACTTCTTGAGGTGGCAGGAGCGTGTGCTTGATACCAAGGAACCAAGTCTCTCAGAGTTAAATGTATTGAAGGTAATTGTAGTCCTTATCACTAAGCAAAACAAGATCTCCTTTTAAACAGTGTATTAGTTATGATAGTCTTTTGTATGTTTTAAGACATCAGACTAGTTGGACAGAATTAGCTGAGTATTACCCCTTTAGTATTGGTATTATGTTACTAGTTCCCAGGCTAAGTCTGCTAGCCATTTTTCTATTTAATAAAAATTTGTAATTATGTGAACGCAATTAATATAACACCATCTTGCCTTTTTCTTTACATAAATTCTTTACATACCATTTATAATTTTTAAAAGAATCTTACATGTAATTATTCATTGCTTAAAACTTATATTTTTGCAGAGTGTCTTATTTAGACAGTCCATAATCTATTAGCTCTTTTAAGTGGCCCCACAGATAAAACCAGTACAAGCTGTGTTATTATCAGCCTTTTCCAGACATCCCAGTGTTTTGCAGTGATACATTGGTATGATAAAAGTCAGCACCTGAAATGTCTTTAAAAAGAACTGCTAACCTACTTGTCATCACATTTCATTTTTCAGTAAAAATTTCTTTTGCTCCAGAATTCATGTCTTTATGCATTTGATCCTACCAAATAGAAGTGGAAATTTTTATAAGCCCAGATACTTAGTACAGTCAAAATTTAGCATATTGGAATATGTATTTCTAGACCAAAGAAAGATGAACTAGAAATTAGCATCCTGTTACCCTAGCCTTGCAAGGTGAAAGTTGAGGATTTCCCCCTTAACCTAGATGCAGCAAGAGCTAGCTTAGAAAGTCCTGTGAAAATGTAGTACGTAAATGAAGGAATCATGTTGTATCTACTGTAAGTGAGCCCCAGACTGGAAGTTTGTACAGCCAGCTTGTCTTTGCTCTGCCTTTCCCAGAGTATTTCCAGTTTTCTTCATAGATAAAATTTTATAAATGTCATTTAAAACCAAAAATTGTGTTGATCTATGCTGGGTATGGTAGAGTATGCCTGTAATCCCAGTACTCCAGAGCGTGAGGCAGGAGGATTAGTACAAGTTGGAGGCCAGCCTGGGCTATGTAGCGAGACCCTCTCTTAACCCTGCCACCAATAAAATAAAACAAAAATTTTGTTGATCAATAATGATCATATTGCAGGCAAGCTCTATCGGTCTAATAGAGCAAAATATGGATACTACTTTCATTTTTTTCCAAACAATCTCATACTTGTAATTTATCTCTGGGCTATGTTCTTACACTTAAGATCCTCTAATGGTGAGGGGCTCACTGTCACTTCCCAGCTTGGGAGCCATCCCTGCCAAACTCCCCTGGAATGTTAGATTTCATTCCTGTGAGCTCCTGCCCTGCACTCTCCAGCTGTGTTGCCCGTGGCATTTTCTCCCCTCTACTGTAGGCTCTGTGAACACCAGGCCTGTCATCTCACCTGTGTCCCAGTGATGGGTATCAGTGGATATTCAGTAAATGATCACAAGGCCATTTGAATTTTAAAATCTTTTCTCTAAACTTTTCTTCTATGTAGTCCTTGCCCCTGCATCTGTGGAGTCAGTTCACTCGGGATGAACTGGAAATCATAATAAATGGCAGCAACTTGGTTTGATTTCCAGCTGCCCTTCCCTAGCTGTGTGGCTTTGGGTGAGGTGCTGGATTAGTTTCTCTAGGCTTTTGTCTTGCATCCTTTCAGTGAAAGATTTGACCAGATCCTCGTGTTCCAGTAAAGCTGCAGGGCTCTGTGGTGTGGGACGGAGTAGTGTGATGAAAGACGAGTCACCCAGCAGACAGCGCTGAGGCTCTCCCCACCTACTGACAAGCCTGACAGCCTGGCCTCCCAAGTGTTCGTGCATAGCTCCTGTGCCTTGGAGATTATGTCTGCAGCATGCCAGAGGCAAAACAAATGCCGAAGTACTTGAAGTCATAAATATTAAATTATGTTGCTATAATTTGTGTTAATTATATTTTGCTGTATTCTCAGGATGTGAAAATTGTTTATTCACATGTGATGTACGGGATCAAGATATAAGATTAATCAAGATAGTTTATTTCTTCATCATCCTGGTTAATAAAGTATTTAAAGTATTTTGGAAAATCACATGTATGTCTTGAAAATGGTTGGACTATTCAAAAAAATAATTTTGAAGTGTTCTTTAATGTTGCTTCAGGGAAGTGTAATGATTATTAAACAAGTGCAAAACAATCTCAACAGTTTAAACTTTACCTTTTTGACATTCTTCATTATCATTCTAACTCCTGACATGTGTTCCCTTTTTTATCTTATGTACTTGTAGCTCATTTAGAGGCCAGTTTTGAGGAGGTAGAAAATCACCTGCTTCATCTGGAGGATTTGTGTGAACAGTGTGAGTTAGAAAGATGCAAACATGTGCAGTCTCAGCACTTGGAGAATTACAAGAAAAATAAGAGGTAAGCTTTAAAATTGGAGTATTCTTGTTCAGCCTCAAAGTTTACCATGCTGCTTTTACGTTCTGTTCTTTATAAATTTAGACTGATAAAATACCGAGGTTTCAACCTGTAAAGCCCATTAATGAGATTTCTCGAACTATTTTTTTAAATCGCTGACTGTTGCCATTTTATAGAGATGTATAGAGATGCGTTGTTAAAAGCCAGCGATAGAGACGCATCTCCAGCATGAAGGTGGAAGGAAGCAGAGCAAAGGACAGGGGCTCTGACAGTAGCTGTGTGGGCCTCGTTTTTTCACCGTGGCGAGTGACTGAGCTGCCTGCCTTTGTTTTGGGTTTGTTTGTTTGAGGCAGGGTGGCCTTGAAGTTACTGCAGTCCTCCTGCCTCAGCTTTCCAAGTGCTGGGATCACAAGCCTGCACCACCACGCCCAGCCACGCTGCCTTTCCCTGTTCTCACTTCTTCTTCCTCGTTTTTTTTTCAAATTTTTCACCATAACAACTGTTTGTTACTTTATTACTCATTGAGTAATAAACCCCTCATTCCTTTTTTTTTTTTTTTTTAGTATGGGGAATTGAACTCAGGACCTTGCGCTTGCCAGTGCTTGTGCCACTGAGCTATATCCCTGGCCCCTCACTTCTTAACAGTAGAGTTGAGAGAGAAGCAGCCCAGGCCCAGGCTGTGGAGGATGGGATGGGTCAGAATTGCCACTCTTGTCACATACTAGCTGTGGGACCTTAGGCAGATGCATCTCTCTTGGCCTCAGTGTCACTCTGTTACTGTGGGAATAACAGTGTACTGGTCTCACAGAGTTGTGAGGGTTGAATGGGTAATTGTCATCTAATTTACTAGGGCTCTGTGGTATTGGTGGTAATGATGATGGTTATCCAAGGCCAGCCTTAACTGGAAATGGAAGAGAAGTTTGAGGGCAGTAACTTGCTAATTGAGGCGTGGCCTCCTGGCCCGGCTGCAGCCTTGCTGGGCAGGGCTGGAAGTCAGGGGAAACCTCTGACGCCCACAGCAGGTACGTCTGTGATGCTGGTGGGAGGGCATGAGACTGCCTGGCTGTGCTGGCAGGCCAGCTGAAAAATGGATTTGGTGGGAGGAGATGGAGAGGCTGACAGAGCACACTGTTGGGCTTACAGTGATCGATAAGCCCAACAGTTCAGAGTCGAGGATTGAGCTGCTGTTATGGATGGGAGGGGCTAGTCACTGACACACAGGACGTTAACAAATGTGTGGAAGTAGATTATCACATTGCTGTTAGAAGTTTTTTAAAATAATGCCACAGGGTGGGACAGAAGTACATACTGAGTGTTGTAGGGCAGGAATTCTTCAGCTCCTTAGGGGTGCAACTTTCCTTTTTAAAAATGTTTATTAATATGTTTGTGATAGACAGTGATTATATTCAGCTCGGGGAGTTGATAAGGAGCCATAGGAATCACCTGGGGAGATGGTGTAAAATACAGACCGCTAGCTGGGTGTGTGGCTGTAATCCCAGCACTCTGGGAGGCTGAGGCTGGAAGATAGCAAGTCTCAGCCCAGCCTGTACAACTTAGTGACCTAGGGAGAGCCTGTCTCAAAATTGTAAAAATAAACCAGACATGGTGGTGCACACCTGTAATCCTAGCACTTGGGAGCTAAGGCAGGAGGCTCGCTGCAAGTTTGACATCAGCCTGGGCTACATAGGCAGTCCCTGTCTCAAAAAAAACAGAAGAAAAAAATCTTTTAATAGAGAGCTGATGAAGTAACTCAGTGCAAAGGCACTGGGTTCAGTCTCTAGTAACATCAACAACAAAAAGCAGACTGTTGCCTTCCATCACCGGGCAACCCAAACCACAATCCACTCCAGTGGTATTCTCCTGCGGATGGTTGGCCTTCCATGGGATTCTCCTGCAGATGGTTGAGGAACTACATTTGGAGAGACAGCCGGCTCTACCCAGAAGGGCTTCGGAAGAGCTTGGGGTGCCCTGGCTGAGATTGTTCACACAATTTGTGTGTGCGTGAGTCCTTCTGAAGGTTTCTGTCAGCTTTATTGGCTTGTGGAGGTTGCAGGAGGCTGTGTGGCAGCTTGTGTGCAGGTTGTGTGACCCGAGATCACGATTTCCATCTGCAAATGGAGGACAGCAGTAGAGCCCTTAGGGTTGTCCTGTGATGGAGTCAGTAAGGGGCTCGGAGCGGTGCCTGGCACCTAGCAAGTGTTCTGCCAGTCATAGCAGCATCGGATGACTTAAGTTATTCAGTGTGTAACTATTAAGAGCATACATAGGTATTTTGTTTTTTTAGTGCCAGGTACGTGTTTTAGCTACTTGAATACAAAAATTACGTGACTAGTGTGATAGTTTTCATCAATATGAGTTGGAATTGATGGTTTGCAATACCATATAACATTTTAATACATAAAACTAAATCCCAGATTTTGATAGAATGATTAGGTAGAAATGCAAGCAGCAAGATTTAGAGCTGGAAAATTTTGTCATGCTTTCCTTCACTGTCACCTAGTGACCTAGATCCCTTTTAATTAATGGATTATATAAATTATCCTAGTGGATCTTTTTAGTAAACCTAACCGATAAACAGGTTACTCTGAAAAATGTCAGAAAAATAGTGTACTAGTTGAAGATTACTGGCTTATAATCGGGAGCTTGAAATCTGTTGGCTAATAAAAGTGACTCTCTTGGATGCTGCAGTGGCCCAATCGGTTAGCGCACGGCTCTTACACGAAAGTGATTGTCTTGCTCTGATAGGCCCACATTTCTAAGGTATCTACTTCCAAGGTGAGCAGGAAATGAATGTTGACTGTCCTCACAGTTTTTTTTGATGCTAAGAATTTCAGTGCAGAATTTCAAGGGTGAGAAATTTTAAATTAACTAGTATTATCATTGACTTTCTAAGAATTTATCTGAAAAAAGTCACATATGAAGGTATTTATTTCTTAATACTCATTGCATCTTCATAAAATAAATATTTATCCAGAAATGCCAAAGCATATTGCATCTTAATTATCTAGTAAGACATTAGACTTGGAGTTTAAATTGAAGTCATATTTTTACGCTGAAATGATTATTACTGATTTAACATGTTCACAACAGAGCCATCGTAATTCCTGTGTTGCTGCTGGGCGGCTCTGAACCACCCGTGGGACATGTGTGCTTGTTCCATCGGTGGCATGGGAGAGTCCCATCAGGTGATGCAATCCGCAGTGGGACAGTCATGCATGTACCTCTGGTGTTTCAAGCCAGCAAGAATATATTACTTCAAAATTATTAATAGGAATACAATTTGGGTTATTTTGAAAAGTCCTTGGGGACCTAAGCTTGAATTTTTCTCTACCACTTGCAACCTGCTTGACCTTTTGCAATGACCTGTTGTCATAAAAGAGAGCAATGAGAATTTCTGGCAGGGTTGTTGAAGAAAAGGGATAGGCGTTTTGTTTGTTTTGTTTTTATTTTTAAAGGGTCAGTCAACTAAGAGCAGGCATTCTTAGCTCACAGAATCACTAGAAATTTTGAGTTCTAGTTAACTTCCTTCTCTAAATACAAATAGTAGAAATAACAAACATGAGATATTATTTAAAATTTACCTATAAACTAGTCTGAGATTCATTGCCTGTTTAGTTAGCATATAAAAGGATGAAGTACCTGTGTAAAAGAAACTTTCCTGAAGCAGTGTATGTAGTCTACTTATTCACATAGCTTATTATTAAGTTGGTTATTCTATAGGTAATTTGTCTGAGTGCAACACAGAGAGTTGAGATACCAAAGTAGGATAATTATATCAAAATAGTTTTGATATAGAACTTACATTTAGCACAGTGCGTTGAGCAGTCACTTATCTTTACTAAAAGCTCACCAGAGTGGTGATAAAGTTGAAAGTTACAGTTCAGAAATCCATGAAGATGAAAGAGGAAATAGCACTAGATGAGACATGGCAGGAACAGTTTGGAAGATGGAAGCGGACAGGTGAATGGTGACCGATAGAGCAGAGTGGCCTGGAGCCTGTGGAGGGGACTTGGACAGGAAGTGTGCTGGGGCACCCCAGAATTGTAAAAAGGGTCCAGGTTCATCCCACCAGGACCCTTGAAAGACAGTGAGTGCCGCAAGAAGGACAGTTGGTGGAAGGTCAGACCCCCTGATCCTGGCTCAGCCAGGTGATTACTCTGCTCTGGCTCCTTGGCAGCGTGGGCAGGGGCACCAAGACCTGAAGATCTGAGGTGCATTTGAGGTGGGCACAGGAGCAAGTGCATTGAAACTGGAGGGACTGGGTGGAGGTCCACATGTCCAGCAGTGAGGCTCTTTGGGCCTCTTTCCTCCCTGGCCCCCAGAGCGCTGACAGCCAGACTTCCTCCCCCGCGAAGGAGGGTTCACCTGGGCAAGCAGCTGGAGTTGACTTGCTGATGTGACCCCTGAGGGCTACCCTGATGCACCAACTGGGCCTATACCCTGGTACCCCCTGGGGGGGAGCCCCGTACCTCTATGCATGCCCTCCAGCACCTCACTCTTAAGTGTGAATGGACAGCTGAGGAATGTTGTTCCAAAATGCAAGGAACCAAAATAAATAGACAAACTAATAGTGATATTTAAATAAGCCACAGAGGAACGAGAGACTGAGGGAAGCGGAAGAAACTTTAAATTTTTTTCCCGTTGAGGTTTTGGGGATTGAACCCAGGATCTGAAGCATGATAGATGAGTGCTCTGCCACTGTGCTGCATGCCCAGCCCTTTTTTAAAACTTGATTTTCAGACATAGTCATGCTGAGGTCCCTAAGCTGGCCTTAAACTCATGATCCTCCTGACAGCCTCCCCAGTATCTAGGATAGGATTATGAGCATGTACCACAATGGACAGTTTCTGCTGTTAAACATCTATATATAAGAGAACAAAGTAATCCAGGAGGCTGAGGCAGAAGGATCACAAGTTCAAGTCTAGTATGGACATTTTCTCAAGTTAGCAAGATCCTGTCTCAGAAAAACAAAAAGGTTTGGGGATGTAGTTCAATGCCAAGGC